CAACCTTGCCCCATGTCAATGGCACTTACTTTACCTGACTTCTTCCTTAACAGAGAGGTGTTAATTCTGCAGTATTGACCCAGGGTAGTGGGGTGATCACCCCTGGTAGGCACAGCTGAGCCCTAAAATAACTGAACCCAGACAGAAGAGGGGAGCCCTGGGGCAGAAGGAATGTGGGGAGAGGGGAAGAGGAGCTCCCTTCTACCAGGGAAAACTCTGAGGACACAAGTAGCTGGAGGAACAGGGAAGGGATTTCCTACAGTGTTCCCAAACAAAGAGAGCTGGCGGGGCTTTGGGGAGAGCTCCGTTTCCCTTCGTTTCATTCAGCAGTGGTCTCCTCCTCCCACAGATGTGGGAGGCAACAGGCCCCCAACTGGTTATCAGGCCCTCCAGCGTGAGGGCCTTTGTCTCCCCTTAGACATCTAGCTGGCAGGGCGAAGGGCCGACAAATCCTCCCTGACCCTCCCAGCTCTTTGTTATCTCAGAGGGAAGATTACATTTCTGTATGGGGAGGCAAAGTGCCAGGAGGCCTCGGGCAGGACAGAGACAGGCAGAGCTGCCGTCTGACCCCCATTGCCTGGATCAGCTCAGGGCTGCCCTAGGGACACTCTCCCTCCACTGGCCTGGGGCCCTTCCAGAAATGGGAGGGCTGCGTTTCAGAAAGGGGGAGGGGTACAGGAGTGGGACAGAAGGGGAGGTGGGCTGGAAGGATAAAAGCAGCCAACTCTCAATTATTCAGAAGCATGTCTGCAGTGCGTGGACAGCCCATGCCTTCGCTGAGTTTCTCACCTTCTCTGTTCAGCTGCCATCAGCTCTTTCCCTGAGAAGTGGAGAAGGGAACCCTGGCAAGTTGGCCACTTGCTTTCATTTTGGCTTCTTGATGAATCTATAGAGGATTTTTCAGCAGCAGACCCATGTCCCTCAACACCAAACAAGCATTTAGATCATTCTCTTTCTGTTTAAATCAAGAACACATTCTTTAGCCTTTTCTTTGAGGTTCAAGATACTCCTACAATGGTTCTAAATCATAAGAAAAAGGGGCTTGATTTAAAACCCCTTGTTCTGGGCCAGGCTCATGCCTGTAATCCAAGCACTTCGGGAGGCCAAGGTGGGCAGATTACCTGAGGTCAGGAGTTTGAGACCAGCCTGGCCAACATGGTGAAACCCTGTCTCTACTAAAAATACAAAAATCAGCTGGGCATGGTGGCTGGCGTCTGTAGTCCCAGCTACTCGGGAGGCTGAGGCAGGAGAGTCGCTTGAGCCCAGGAGGCGGAGGTGAGCTGAGTGAGCTGAGATCATGTCATTGTACTCCAGCCTGGATGAAAAGAGCAAGACTCCATCTCAGAAACAAAAACAAAAACCTTGTTTGAGAAGAATTACGGAGAGGAAGGGCGATACACACTCCTTTAGGAACGAAGTAGAAAAATAGTAGCTGGGTATTAACATTAAATGCTGGATTTTTTTCATGGCTTGTTTTCCCAATCATATTTCCTCAAATTGTATTTCCTCCTCTGGTAAGCCAGGTGGGTTATGCTTAGCAAGTCCATCAACCACAAATATACATGGAAAACCTCCTGAGTGGAATTGGTCAGACGCCTTAGATGAGATCCTTGCCCTAAAGCAGTTTAGAAGCCAGTTAGAAAGCAGAGTAAGGAAAACTACTAACAAAGCTATGGTTAGTATCAACTCAGTGGATAGTCAGAAAGTGAGCAGGGGATCCAGCGACTGACAAAGCTGGGATGGGCAGGGAAGGCCTTTTGGGGGTAGGGTGTGAGTTTGGCCTTACAAGCCTGTGATGAGTATTAATTAAAATGCAGGAGGCCTAATGGGTGGGCAGCTTATTTAGGAGTATAAACCAAACCTGACCAGGAGCTGAAGGGTTAAATGGTGGCTTGTAGGGGAAAACTCTATAAACAGTGGCTGAAGTTCATTTATTCAACAAAGATATGAGTTCTTGTTTCTCATTTTTTGTTTTATATTATTTTGTTTTGAGACAGGGTCTTACTCTGTCACCCAGGCTGGAGTGTAGTGGCTGATTATAGCTCACTGCAGCCTCAAACTCCTAGGCTCAAGCCATCCTCCTCCTTCAGCCTCCACCTCCAGCTAATTTTTAAAAATATTTTGTAGAGACAAGGGCTCACTTTGTTTCCCAGTCTGGTCTTGAACTTCTGGCTTCAAGTGATCCTTCTGCTTTGGCCACCCCCCAGGTGCTGGGATTACAGGCGTGAGCTGTAATTTAGTTGTTTATTTATTCATTTGTTCAACAAATACTTATTGAATATTTGCTCTTTGGCCAGTCAAGGAATTTTATGAGTGTCTACTATGTGAATAACACTGTGTTGGCCACTAGTCTGTCGCCTACTGGTGGATTAGAAAAATAACGCGAGGACCCTTTTCTTTTTACTTTTTTTTGAGACGGAGTCTTGCTCTGTTGCCAGGCTGGGGTACAGTGGCACAATCTCAGCTCACTGCAACCTCTGCCTCCCGAGTTCAAGCGATTCCCCTGCCTCAGCCTCCCCAGTAGCTGGGATTACAGGCGAGCGCCACCATGCCTGGCTAATTTTTTTGTATTTTAGTAGAGGCGGGGTTTCACCTTGTTGGCAAGGATAGTCTCGATCTCCTGACTTCGTGATCCACCTGCCTCAGCTTCCCAAAGTGCTGCGATTACAGGTGTGAGCCACCGCCCCCCTCCCCCAACTCTTTTCTTAAATTAGCCAGGGAGGCGTGGGTGGGGTGGGTGAGGAGTTGGGTGGGGGTAACTCATTCAGTATTCAAACTTCTACAAGTTTTGGGGATGAGGTGAACAGGCCCTACCACTAACTTACATAGTGACTTCTATTTGTGTAGTATTTTTGGTCCACTGAGAGCTATCATTTTATTTGATTCTTACGATCATCTTGTGAAGGAGTATCAACAGATACCGCTGTTTTGATTTTATCAGATACATGATTTGTCCTACATCAAACTTCACAAATGATGGACAGAATGGAGGAATCCTTCAGACCTAGTGCTGCCTACTTCCCACCCCAACGGTGGCCTCAGCCTGGGCTCTCACATCGCAGGCCCCACGGAGACTTGGAAAAAATACAGGCTCTTGGCTCCTTCTTGGGACAGCCTGATTCCTCATGTCTGAGCAGGCCCATGAATTTGTATTTTTCAGACGTTCCCTGGAGGACCCGTGTCCATCTGGATTAGGAAACCACTACATTATACCACCCCGCGGCAAGACTCAGGGGGAAGAATTTAGCCACTTTCCTGGGTTCCACAGTACTGGAGGGTGTTCTGAGTGGGCTGTGATTAATTTCCAAACCAACCACACCTCTCCCCTCAACTCCCACTTACTCTTTGCTTCCTAGACGTTCACTTCAGGCTGGAGACTTCTGAAGACCAACAACATTGCTGTAGAATTTACAGGGTCCAGTTCCTGGTGGAGCACAAAACCTAAATTATGTGGCTGGGGAAAGCAGAGATCCAATGGAAGGGTTTGAGGAGGGGCTGACCTTCTCATAATAAAACCAGCTTGTATTTACTAAGTGTTAACTATGCGCCAGGCCCTCGTTGACCTCTCGACTCTATAAGAAAAAGCACTATTAACCCCCTTTCACAGATGGGAAAACCGAGATTTAGAACGCGAAAATCATTCCCCAAGGTGCACAGACTCCAAAGTCCACGCTACCAGGTACAATCTCAAGGCTGCGGCGTCTCTTCACCTGTCCCCCACACCCCCCAAACTGCTGCTATGTCTAGGGCCTGACATTCCGGCGCCCTCTGGGACGCGC